TATCGTTCTGTCATTGTTAAATATTCAAAAATATATAAAAAAATGTCAAATGTAAAATGTTATCGCTGTTGTAGACTTCATTGTTATCATCGCAGCAGCACTAATGAATTTACAAAAACCTATAATTTCAAGTTAAATTTAAAAGAATAAGAAGAAGAATATTTAAGAATATTTTCATGACAAAAGAAATGGCTAAATGTATATTTCATATATTTATTATTTTATTTATTTATTATACCTTTATCGTTTATTGCATTTGTATCATATCATCAAAATATATTGAATAATAACTAATTAAGACTTTAACTTTATTAACTTTGTACAGAGTTGAACAGCTTTGAGTATATATTTTTGAACCAGAATACTATACATTTTTTAATGAGATCTTGAATGTTTGCATCATCATATATCAATACGCTAACATAAATTTTTTGATTGTCTTCAAAGTTTTGATCGGCAACACAAAAGATTTCCTTTCTTTTACCTGTCTTTAACAATTGCAGTTGCATTTGAGCATTACACTTTAAGTTTATTTTGCCCTTCGGCAAAAAAGTGTACCACGCGTTTTTTGTGACATATATTATATCGAAGATGAGCGTGATTTTTGACTCATTAATTGTTAATGTAACTAAAAAGGCTTTGCTTCGAACTCGATTTTCTGGAGATACACGTGCTTTTAAAATACAAATTTCATTTTTACGACTAAGTTGAGCATAACCCACAGCTTTGTCGCCGTAACTTTCACGCGATGCTCTAAAATTAATTTATTAGGTAATTTAATTCAATATAAAATTAATACTTAAATATTGTGATTTATAATATTTTTTAACAGACTTATTACATCAATGCCTTGGCGTCTCGAACTTCCGCAGAATTAAACCGAACATCATTTTTTAAAAGTTCGGCTACCATAAATATATCAATATTAGGAACATTATCAGAATTTGCTTTTATAAATCCTTTATCACACATAGTTGAACTAAATTAACTTCAACAAATCGTTTTTAAAAGAAAATTTACCACGTGTTTATCAAGTTCCGTAAAATATAGTCGTAAGAACTGCACTAATAGAGTAACGGCACTGCGCTGTTGTGTGGCTGCAATTACAATGTGACGTCACAGGCACGGTAGCCGTTAACGGTCACATGACTAACTTTTGAATTTAATCAATTTTTAAACGCTCATAACTAATTGAAAAAACATTTTTTTTTGTTTTTTCTTTCACATATCAATAAATTTAATAATGTAGTTTTAAAGCGCATAAAAATAAATATATATTTTTTTTTTTCAAATTCCCAATTATAGCCAATTATTAAACTCAATTTTAGTAAATTTTATCTAGGTTTTACTAATGTAAATAAATTTAAGTGCACATATTTAAAATTCTCTAGTTTATACTAAAATAAACAAATAAAAGTGTCCCGAATAAAATTTTCAAAATATTTGACAAAATGTGAAAAAAATTCCTACAACCAAATATTGAAAATTAGAAAAATATTAAGGTCAGCGTTTCGACTAGAACAAAATTTCCAAGTTATTTGATAAGACCTCACATATTGATACTTATTCGCATTTCAACTACAAATTATTCAAAATGTTGATATCCAAGTGTATAAAACAATTTATACTAAATTCTAGTAAATTTTACCAAGTTTATACTAAAATAAACAAATGAGAGTGTCCGGTACAAAATTTCTAAGTTATTTGCAAACTGTAAAAAAATATAACTGTAAATGTCGCATATTGCTAATTACTAAAAATTAATCAAAATATGCAAAAGTATTTCAAATTTAGTAAAATGTATTTAATAAAAACATGAATGAAACAGCTGTTAGCTTGCTAAAATCATTGTTCTTCTTTTGACTGACATTTTAATGTATATCGAGTTACTGTAGAAGTATCAAATTCTAACAAAATATAGATAATTTAATTTTGTGCAAACTTCCTAAATATTTCATTAACATTGGACAAACAAATGATTTGTATTTTATCACTTATGATTCAAAAGATTACTTACATTACTTACAAAGAGCATATATATTTTTTGACCCATTTGTGATGTAGATATTGATTTATTAATAACAACTGTACTTATATTAACTATTATTAGTATAAAAATTAATACACTAATATTTGTTTTCAAAGAAAACATTCAAAAACTTATTTCCTTGTATAAATAGCACACTTTTTGTTTGAGCAATGAAAAAAGTATTTTCCTCTTTTGAAATATTTCTTATTTTGAATAGTTTTAAAAAAGTAAGAAAAAATTAACTAAACCTGAGCTATTCACTTAATTATTAGACATTTCTTTAATTCATTAACATTTTTAAAACACATTTGAAAATAAACCTGTCACAACAGACATTTTTAACCTCAAAACAACTGTCAACAAAATTTTGACGTTTGAGTTTGACATTTCTACAATATAATTCACTTCTGACGTTTAAAGTAACAAATTCATGTATTAAAAATTGTTTCGGACTTAAATCAATATAATTTATTATAATATATAATATTACAATGTGTTGAAAATGTATTTAACATTATTCATATTGATTAGAATTATGCCCAACAGTTTTGTCAAAATATTTATGAATTCATAAACATTAACCACATTGCCTTAAAATTAAAATATAAAACATTATTTAGTACTTACCTGATCACAAAACAGTACACTTTAACTTTAAATCTATTTACATTTGCGACATGGATAATTATTATTATAATAACTTATTATAGTAACTTGTTCAACAAAGTCCCAGACAGCACAGACACAGACTGTTGATTTATTTTAACATATTTACAACAGAAATTAAACATAGAGCATAGAACATATATTTATATAGACTGGTAACATAGTTTTTAGTATCAACGTACAGCAGTTAAGTTTAGTTTTCTTTCCATTTCTATTATCAAGTACATATATATAATATATATATATATATATATATATATATATAAAATTAATTAATAAAACAACATGTGCTAATTTTAATACGCACATAAATTTATTTCATTAAAATTATACAAATGAAATGAAAATATTAATTACTAATTAAATAAAATATACAACAAATTTCTAACATCCCTCTCTTACGTGCAAAAATGTATATGATTATTTAAATTCGCAATAATAATAACAAATTCGTATTATTCAATAATAGTTCATATTATTAATAATAAAATGTTAAAATTAAGAAATTATTTGGACTAAATATATTCAATTATTTCATTAATACAAATACAAAATCATCAATACAAAAAAAATTTGGGGAAAAAAAATTCTGGAAAAAATTTTTTTTGGTAAAAAACTTTGCGGAAAACAATTTTTTTGGAAAATAATTTCACTCAAATCAAACATGTCAAGGCATTTTGGAAAAAAATGCTGAAATTGCCCGAAAAAGAAGGGTATGGCAGAATTCACCCGGGGCGTAGAAGCAATGAAACAAATTTGATTAATAATTGCCCAAGCAGTGCAAGCTGCACAGCGTGTTTTATAAATTGCTATTGTTATTTTCAAAGACTATCCACTTCGGTTTGTTTAACAAAGTTCTTACTGTTTTATTTTTGTAATATTTTCAAAGACTTTGGTTTTTGGGAAATTTTTTTTGGACAAATTAACACTACACTACACTAATTTATTTATTTAATATATCAGTAGTATAACATTATTTTTATTATATCTATAAAAACTGTTTGGATAAAAGTCTTTGGATAAAATGGCCGAAAGTTTTTAATCATCGAATAACAGAGTAAATTGTTATTATGTATTTTATAGAATTCCTCAAATGTATTCCTCTTCTTCTAAATAACTTCCAAAAAGTACACTTTGTGACAAATACAAGTGGAACTAAAATAAATTAATAAAACAAGCCTTATGCAAATTATAATTTATGATAATGTATTATACTCAATTCAATAAAATCAAAAAATCATCTATTATTAAAGATACAGGCTGTTTGTTTATATTGCATATTATACAAGTGAAGCAATATTTTGAACATTGAAAAAATCACAAATTGTGTATATAATTTACAGTAAAAATACAATATAGTTCAGAATTCATAAATTAATATTTTCTACAAGAAACAATTACTTTAGGTGCTTAATAATAAGTTTCTTAATGAGGCATGAAGATATAAAATTAAATAAAAATGATCATAGTGTAAAATACAAATTAAATAGTTCACACAAATAAATAGTTAGCAAAGTCATCTACGCTATATATACCCTTAATACTCGTATATTCTTCTAGTAGTAATTTTTTCACTAATTTCACAGTCTTCAAGATTATTCCAAAAGATTTACGACGAACCATCTGAAACCCAGAATAAAATTTATATTAGTTAAAAAATTAGATAAAAAATTAATTGTAGTAAACCTACAATGTCATGCAAGAAAAAATAATTGTACATGTACTTAATCTTGATATACATCAAATATGCAGTTGAACCCCGTTAAAACGGTCATGCTTAATACGATTTGTTTCTTAAAACGCCGCTTAAAGACCTATACTGCACTTTGAAAAATATTGAGGCCAGTTGCCTGAGAAATTGTCTTAAACAGAATTTACTGAATTATTACTTTAATTTTTAATTATTATTTCCTATCGTTATCAGTATAATTTTAATGTTTTAATAAAGACACAGTGTTAAAAAATATAGAATGAATATTTTTGCATTTTCAACGAAATTGCACAAAATAATTTTCAATTCATATGTAATAGTATATAACAAATACCTTATTAGTTCAGGAAATTTGCATAACACCTGGATCAATAAATTTATAGATTATAGCCAATGTTTAGCAAGAATATTCAGAAGCATTAATATAAATGATGCAGATCAATTTCATTAAAATACCCAACTTATACTTTACTCATTTATTCAATAGTACATGCAAAAATACTAAAAGCTATATAAATTTTCGTGCAGTGCATAATCAACAAGTGCATTTGTATTATTTAATAAGAAGAAGTGCACTGGAAGCGATTTTTAATGTTACATATCTTCTTGGGTCAATTGGTGAGCAGTCAGGAGGTACCAAATGAAAATGCAGAATGCTACGACATTGCTAAACGAGTATCTTGTACAAGAGTTCGCTGAATTTTGACAAACCTTTGATAAAACTCCTATGGAATCATAAAAAATCTTAAATATCATAATAAAAAATTTAAATGAATGATACAATGGGCGCCTTTTAAAATGAATTACTTACACAGCTAAATGAAGTTTGGATTTCATTAATTAGCAATGATTGAGTTTATTATCAAAGCATAGAAGAAGATTAAGTAAATGCTTATTAAAGTGATAATATTTTTTTGATATGCAAAAGACGTTCATTAAATGCTTAAAGTTCTTATTCAAATTGATCAAATTTTTTCAAACTTATACAGCAAAATAATATTTAAAAAAAAACCATTGCCATTTATTACTATGCAAAACTAAATATGTTAAGTGATCATATGTGTTATTGCTGCTTTTCAATAAATAAATGAAAGTGAAATCTTCATTAAGAATATTTAGAAAGACATAATTATTAGTGTAGAATAAGAATATTTTAAAGCGACTATTGTTAACTCCAAAAACTATGCAGCAGTTTTGTAAAAAAATACCAATACCGACGTTAATTTTAGTGTTTGTTACATCTACTATTTACAGATTAACAAATTATTAATATTTAGATTAATTAAATTATTAATTACTACAGACTATTAATTAATTAAATTACGAATATCTACAGGAAATATACAGTTCATTGATTAATCAATGTGGTTTACTAAATACCTGATGTGAGCGAATTTGATGTAGAGCTCAGTCGATCTCCGTATTTATTAAGAAGGTCTAATATGACACCATTCGTCCAGCCAAAACCAAGCTGGACCTCATATTCTCCGCCATTTCCTGGTGCCCCAGCATGTGTGGCATTATACTAAAGCATGGAACAGAAATCAATTAGATAATATATCACGATCATATATATCATTCTGATAATTCAACATATTTCCAAGAATATTCGATTCATATTGTAGAAAAAGATGTATTAGAAACCAATTTTCTACTTATAGAGGTTTCGATAGCTTTTTTCATACTTTCATAAATAACTGAAACTGTTGTTAGTAATATAAATTTAATGTTAATAATAAATATAAGAGATAATTTAACGAAATACTAAAAAAAGAATATATAAATATGGTACTATGTGCTTATCTTTTAACCTCGGTTTCTTAAACATACCGACCTTTTCATACATATGATTCGTTTCCAAGTAAGCTTTATGATTTGATCGGACCCATTTCTGGCAAAGATCAAATGACAAATCCTTAGCTTCCTGATTATCTGTGCTGTCCAATCCCAGGATCACCATATGCTGAAGAGGTGCCCAGGCATTTGGGAAGTCCCATTGCTCTCCTGTATTCAATAAAGTGGTTGGTACACCACCTGGGTAGCTTTTTATTGCTACATCTGGACTCTGGAAAAAAATAGAATTAGATAAGGTGAAAATATCACAGTTTAGAGAAGTTATTTAAAATGGCAGTTCAGAAAATAATAATGTCAAAAATTCATTTATACTTACATTTAAATACCGCAAAACCCTCTCAATCCTATCCTGCACATTCTTGTCTACTCCCAAACTTTTACCACTCCCACACTCAACGTCCTTATAACTTTGAGTCCACAAAGGAGCAAGATTCGAAGGGTAGAAATAAGGTCTCGATATTCTATTTTCTGAATCGTAGTCCATCCAAACACCATATTCATCATTCCACAATAAGGTGTCTAAAACTTCTTTAAATTCTTCAGCAACTTTCTTATAATACTCGTGCTTCGATTTATTTCCTAGGATGCAGTAAAACTCTGAAATTAGTCGGGCATTCCATTGGATAATGGAGTTCAGGTCAACTGGGACGATGGTGCTGGTCTTCAAATCGGTCAGATTGCCTAAAAAATATAAAATTGTAAATTTCTCTTTAATTTTTTAAATAGAAAGACTCGTGCATCACTTATTAACAAATCAGATAACAAATGCAAATTAATCCAGTATGTCAGAAACATATTTTCGTTTTAAATTTCCCAAACTACATCAATTATATTTAATATTTCAACGAGGCATTATTAAATATGTCAAAACAAGATAATTAGGTTCGCTTGGCATGTCTCAAGAAATAAATGCATGAAAACTATATACAATAGAGAAAATGTGTTATAATGGAAATAACATATTTTGCAAGAAACTTTTAATATATTTTCAGCAGTTTATTAGTTTGTTATTATCTCAATGCAAATTTTACGTTTAAAATTTAATTTACCTAATGTGAATGATAACGGCAAGGACGCGCGTGATATTGGACTTTTGTCAAAGATAATACATATAACAAATTGATAAATAAAATTATGGGTAATAATAAAAAAATAAAATAATAATAAAAAAATAGTAAAGATTATCAAAAAAAATGGATAAATAAACATTAAAAGTGATAACAAACGGCTACTTTAATAAGGGGGCGTCCATTAATCAGTTGATCGAATTTTTGAGAATTTTTGGACCCCCAGCACCTCCTTGGTGTTAATTGGTGATATTCAAAATTACTCCCCCCCCTCCACCAAACATCACGTGTAATTTTAGTTACGAGAAAAAAATGTAAAACTTTTAAAAATTTTCTGAAAATGTTTGGATTTTTTGAAAAAAAAAAATCAGGTAAAAAATAAATACACGTGATATCTTACTATACTACTTCATCCCCGCCTGATATTTCGTGATTTTTGTCAATCCCCTCATGTGATTAATGGACGCCCTCTAAGGTTAAGGTATACCCTGTTATCAAGCAGTTGTGATATACGTTTTCACTTATATAAATAATAATTTAACTAGTTAACTAAGCTAAGTTTATAGAATATTGAAATTTTATTGATTCGGTGTTAATAGTGTTCTAATAATAATACCTAATGAATATTGTTTATAACTTGATTCATAATTATTAGTTAAGGTGATTTGTTAAATATTTTAAAATAAAATTTTTACAATCTTCAAAGGTTCAAATACTCCAATTTTTTTATCATTGTTTTATACAATGATGAATTATACAATTTGTATTTTACATAATTATAGCATCAAACCCCAAAATTTATAATTAAACATATTGGAAATTTCTAAAAGTTCAAGAATATTTACATTATAAATATGTTATTACCCTTATCAATAAGTGATTTTAACAAAACTTCAATCAAGCCTAATTTTTTTATAAAATAGGTTTTTTAGTCTCAATTAACTAAAAGGGGATGAAAATGATTATGTTTTCTGCATCACTAGGTATTTTCCTAAATTTCGCGGCCTTTTATATTACAATTGATAATAACTAGATAACATTATAATTTAAATTTTTTCTCAGTCGACTCTTTGAAAAATAGATTATGTATTTTCATAAATAGCGCGCATAGTATGAAATTTGCTCATCTTACATTAGTATTTTTCATCATATTATTCTAAAAGTCCTTAAAATTTCATTTTTATATATAGAAAACACTGTTGCTATTATTTGCACTATAATAAGTGATAATAACCAACTGTTTATGATAATTAGGATAAATTAAATGACACGAGCGAATAATTCTTCCACAGAATCAGCAAATGTTGGTCAAGAAAGATAAATAGGTTTCAAAATAATTATAAATTATTTATTATATAATTATAGATTATTCTTGGGAATTTATTAAAATGCGAATTTTATTACAATTTTTGGTATTTTTTTATATACAGTGAACTATTTTTTATGAAATCATGTGTTTCTAAATATTTTATCAATATAGACAACATAGAATGTAGGCTTAGGGATGCAGGATTGTCTAAGGGATAGACCCCCAATTTATCAGATATTTAGTGAACTAACATTACTAAAATTAGTATCATCTATCAATTTATAACCTGATATTTTTCTGTAAAACAATTAAAAATAGTTTTATTCAACATTGAACTTAGTTTCAAGTTTCTACAATTGCATTATTATTAATTGAACATTACGTAAAAGGTAGAAAACGCTTTAAAAACTATACTGACTATTTTATGATTTTTAAAACTCGTTTTTATTAGTTATAAAGCAATAAATAATTAAATAACTTAAGTGATATATGGTTTATTGCTACGAATTATTAGCTATTACATTTTTTATTGTTGAAACTTGTTCTTGATATTTTATGGATGTTATGCAATGATTGATATAAAATATATTGTGTTTTTAGTGGGAATATAATATTATTATTAATTTAATTTAATTAAATGTTGAAAATCTGGGTGAAAGATTTTTTTAATTTTTTCAGTAATTAAAAAAATATTGTATGTGATAATAACCACCAATAATTGAAAAAATATTGTATGACATAATAACAGTGTCACTGTCATATGATTTCTAAACAAAAAGTATTCAATCAAAAATTTTTTGGGAGATAAATCATTTCTTAAAATGCAAACTATTCATATAAAATTAATAACAAATCATCAATATCATTACACAAATTTTAAAAATTATGAAACCAAGTAGTGCTCTCCACGTTCTTAGTAAAATTAAGGGTATTAATTAGGCAGTTTGCAAAAATTTCAATTAATCAATAAAGTATTTATCAAGTAGTTAATGTTTATTGATTAATATTTCAATTATCCTTGTTTCGGCCCTGATTTCTAAACAGTTTTATTACATTATATTGTGTTACAACTTTATTGAAAGTAAAAGTGCGCTGAACGTTTGATGGCTATTTTCAAAGTCAATATCTTCGGTTTCTCAATCAAGGATGTTAAAAACACACCTTTATATTGTTGAAATGATTTTTATTATGATCGGCTCATTAATCATAATAAAATTTATGACTTCTATGAAATCGAATCTATAATACTTCCCAGAAATGATAATTGATACTTCTTGTTAAATGGTACTGTAAGAATATTTTTATCTAAAAAAATTGAGGTAAAAAATGGTTAGCAATTGCATATTATATTTTGCTTACATTATTATGGCAATGTTTATGAATATAATATAATTTCTGTGTGTATTTTCGTTTTTAGCAGTCGATTGCCTAATAATTGTCAATAATTATGAATATTACCAGAAAATTAGAATGCGTTTCCAGGCGCACACATAACTGTTGTGTTTTATATTCCTTTAATTTTTTTTAAATGTTTTGTAGTTAAAATTTAAATACATGTAATTTCACAAATAATTTTTGTAATATTCTTGATCACTGTTCTTTAACACTGCATTATAAAATATTTGATTATTTTTTAATTTTGGTATATTTTTAACAATTCGTGTTTTATGCATATACAAGTGGTATAAAAATTAATTATATTAAATTTTGCAACTTAGTATTCTGAAATTTTGCAATATCATCGGAAGTAGTTAGAAAACTATAAATTATACAAACATGAATTAATTTCCTTTACCGAACAACCTTTAAGAATCCATTAAACAGAACGTGCTTTATTCTATTCTCCAGCAATTAATCATTGTGGAAACAATTATTTATATATACTGCAATATTTATATATAATTATATCAATTATGATCTAATAAACATAATTGATATTGGCACAATGTTGTTTATGTAGAATGAAGTTGATATTGAACTCAGAAATAGCAGTTCATATCATATTTATCATTAAAAGAAGAGAAAACGAACTTTTATTCAGTTTATAAGACATGCATTAAATATATTTATGTAGTTGAGTCATATTTTTGTAAAAATTAAAAGAAAAACTAGAAAAGCATATTTTTGAAATTAGGTGTCTGACCAAAATATATTCATTGAAGAATAAATATTTGATTATATTATTTTAAGCGTCAAGATCAAAGTTTTATCAAAATAAACTGAACGTGTTCTACTATATATGAAAAATCTTATCAATTATTATCTTCTAAAACAAATAAGATTCATACGTAAACACCTACTAAGTGTTATTAATTTGTGTACTAAAATTTTCAACCTACATTGCCAAATTATAAAATCTAATTCCGTTGATTTATTGTTAAATAATGATAACTTAATAACAAGCAATAGTAATATTCATTTTCACTCGATCAAGAATAAAAAAGAAATTAAAAACTATATCACCAGTATGAGTCAATTATAATTTAATTTATTAATAAAAATATATCAAAACCTTTATTAAAAAAATGTATTATGCATAATCGTTTGTTTTAAACAATTTAAGGAAAGCATACTTTGGCACCTAAATGGTAACTATAAGTATTTTAATAGACAAAAATATAAATTATAATTAAAACATTTTGATGGTTAAACAAATGATTTCATAATAACCAAGTTCAATGTTTTATCCAAATAAACTAGTATAAGTGAGCATATGCTATTAATGTATTTTTTTATAATTGAAAAAAAATATTCAGAAACTTTAATAACAAAATTCTAAAAAATAGTTTTATCCAAACGATGATTATGGCAATCACTCTGAGAAGATTGAATTAAGAAAAGATTCACACATCCTACATTTAATAGGGCTTGATTCAACCTCATGCTATATTTGAATCCTATAGTAATAGCTGGCTAATAAAAACACAAATGTAATGTAATTTAATAGGTAAATTATGTAATTGACATAAATATGAGAGGCCACCTTATAATAAATTGCACGGAATGTATAATTGCCCCACGTCTCGTGGCTTACACAACATCAGTTAATTCTAGTTACGCTCTTACTATCAATGAATGCAAATATAAATGATAAATAATTAACATTTTGACGTACTTTTGTTGTTTATGACAGCTAATTATGCGTTTGTGCGGGAACTGAAATGAATAACATGATAATTCTTCAGTTTTTATCGGAAGATTACTGAATGATCTCGAGGAAACTTCCTTGAAAGCACTCTTTCAAATTTGACAATGTTAACGGTCATTAGCATATAATAATCACATCCTTGACAAATATTGAAATAATTAAATATTTAGAGGCACGATTGCACTCATCTCCGGTGGATCAATGGCAAACTTTCCAGCCTCTTATGGCTAGAAGTCCCTTACGCTCATTTTTTTCTATTTATATATAACTATTGTTCCATCCAAATTTTATCGCCGTGATGTGAATTAAATTCTTTATCGTCAACATTGATAGGAGATGTCCGGTTTCCGCAAATTACTACGCGAATAGAACTATTAAAATTTATCTTGATGACCAATATGGAAATACAGTATTAAAACAATATCAATACAAGAATTGATAAAGACATTTTTTAAATAATTAATTTATCCTGTGTAATTTGTTCATTTAAAAATTTTATTATTATTTCGCGTCGGCCCATGCAACTATTATCTACGTAACAATTAATTTTTCATTTACTATTTTTACATAAAACGCATTAGACTATAAAGCAACAAATTACAGTTTGCGACTACGCCGAGATCAATATCAGATCTAAATTTAAACTTGCTAAACAATAAACCAAATAAAGTATAATACAAAAGTGACTCACCATTATGGGTATTGTCCTTTGCCACGAACCATCTCGATGAGAAATCCCAGCCAGACTCGGCGGCAGATTTCAGTTGTTTGTAATGTTTCTCTCTATCAGCTTCGTTGAAAAATGAGCACTCATCACATCCTCCCTGTACGACTCTGGTCTCGGTCCAGGAAAGTCTGGCTATACACAGCAACAGTATAATTTCTATTATGAGCAGGTACAGTTATTGTTCGTTCGACAACCAGAAATTAAGTTCCTTCTCCAAAGTATGCGTATGATTCTTCAAAAACTCTAAATCATTTGTTTTATCAAAATAACTTTTCACCATTGGCGTCAAAAGTGGTGGTTGCGAACGCTCGTAATATATACGTCCACCGTTGGGCACAAAACCAAATTTATCCACTAAACCCAAAAAGTTTTCAAGCATACCTTTAACCGTGTGATGCATTTCAGATAATAATAGACCTTGAACGATCCAGTATGAATCCCAATAATAAAATTCTCTAAAGCGACCACCAGGCACTACCACCGGATTTTCTACGTATATTATGGAATACTTTTCTTCTTCGTCTTTGATTTTTGGATCCATTTTCTTCCTAGTTGTTTTCCACAATATATGCAATTCCTCTGCAAACTGTCTTAGACTGTCATCAATA